GCCTTTACTTGGATGTATGTCAACAGAATATGCCGCCAGCCAATGAAATCATGGCACTCCTAGTGTTCACAGCGAGCGAAATGATTTTCGCGGGAATTCCAAAGCAATAAAAAGAAACAGTCATGTTCTCCTTGTTGAACTTCAGCGTGCGTTTATTGAGCCGTCTTCAAAGCTCATGAGAAATGGGGAAAACCAAGAGAAATAAGCAGGGTAAGAGTGCGGGTAGGAGTATGCATGATCCCTTCCCGCCATTGGTCAAAGTTTTCTCCTTGTCTTCAAGAAATTCCGCTTTTGTCGTCTCTTTAGGTCCTTGCTTCGATTTTTTCGCTGTTCAAGGACTTTTCTTTTCCTTGTTTAGCACATTTTATGACCTCAATTAAGAAGTGATAGGTAGCATGGAAGATTCGAGAATACAACTGGAAATAGCGTGTTAACATAACAATGCTAATAAGGCCCTTGTAATAAGACCTTCCGGAAGAAGCCGTTTTGCGCAAAATGTTGGCGCGCAATGAAGATTATAGCTGGTTTTCATGTGACGTCACTAAAATTCAGATTACCAAACTATTGATCTTCCTAAGATTTTACTTCCATGATGTATAAGAGCAGCTGAAAACTAGTATTCATACAAATTTTCGCTCCGAATGGGTTCTTGGTTTTGTCATACAGTACGTTGTCATTCGCGGCTGTCGTAGCTTTGTGGACTCTTGTAACTTTACTAATAAAGCTAATTTGTATACTCCTTAAGTGGTAATACATACAGGACAAAAATTATGCCATTTTGGCAGCTATGTCGCAAAAGCAAAGCTATTTTGTCTAAAAAGTTTCATCCCGGTTACCGAGATCTCAGTAACCAGTTCAGCCCGGCCTCTCATATGAACACATCAAAATTTTTTATGAAGGAAAGAGTGACGAGGCGAGATCTCGAAAACTGAGCCAGCCCGGTTGATCGGCCTCATATGAAGAGGCCCTTAGAGTGGTCACTTTGGGAAATGCAACTTCTACGTGTCTTTACATTTTCTCGAAAGTGAACACCTCCAGTACAACACATACATTCGAAAAGCAAATGAACATAAGCTCTTTCCTATATCAAGAGGCTTTGAGGTCTGTTGTGAACATAATTTAACTTCACTAAATCAACACATTCAGTGCGAGTTACTTACCACCTTTCGAAATCATCCATGTTTGGTCGATTCTGAAATATGAATAAACGATGGAGTTATTTAACATCGCGTGTTGCGGGTGACTATATTGATTATGAAAACTGAAAAGCCTTTACTAACTCCACTCACCTGGTCAAGCTCTTGCAGCCAGCCCTGCAAGTACACAATAAGTTCCTCAACATACTCCTTCACTTGCGGGTCATTTACTGTCAGCTAATCAATAACAAAATAATAAATTATTTTTCCTCAGCACTTTCTAAGCTGTCAAAACTACTCCAGTGAGTAAAGAAGTCCTAAATATTTATGTAAAACTTACCGTGAAAGTTGTTCTTGACCTGGAAGCCACGTCTGACCTCAGTGTCACTTTATGTAACAAGCACTCTTTGACTTACGTGTTTGTTGTCCCAAGTAACCGCTGTCAAAAGAGCCTGCTGGGGGGGACGTGATGCATGACGACTCCAATGTAGACTGAACAATCAACTCCTTTTTTAACATTTGCTTTGTATGGCAATTAAACGACGTTATCTCTTTGTAGGTAGAGTCCAAGAATGTAAATAAACTGGAACTTTAACAATACCTCACTAAATTTTCATTCCTGGTGGTGGAGTCGGGGTTGTCAGGCAATACCAGAGGGCCTTATTCCGACCCCGGATTTACGATGCTGCATTTACTGGGACTTTGTGGGTGAGTTTCGAGAGAGTTCAGAATTCGATAACTAGCCGAGGTATAAATGGGCACATGTCACATTAGCATGAGAGTAGCCTGTACACAGGTTAGCATGCATGAGACCATAAGTCAAGATTTTGAAGCAATATGGGAATTGCCCAGAACTTGTTCAGTTTTCTTGATTCCTCTGATATCACTATCTTTTCAATCAATGAAGGAAAGCAACAAACAACAGAATTAAGCTTGAAATTGTCTTAAAACTGCGCTAGACAAGTGACACGAGGCAGCCCAGGCAAAGAGCCTTTGATTCAGGTTGTTGCTTTATTGAAAAAAAGACCTTGGAGTTTATCAATGACTCCATTTTGCCGATTTCTCTGGAACTTTATATTAATCAAAGGTGGACTTAAGTACGAACTTGAAAAATGGTTACTTTTAGCAGTATCGATAGAACGGGTTCTCGGAAAGGGTGCTTTGGTTTTAAAAAGAAGAGAGATAATGAAAAAAAATCAAGTGATGTGGTGTCGAACCAGCCTTCAGTCTAGTAGTCAACGCTCTGCAGTGCAGCGCTTTAATCGCTTGCGCCAACTAAGCACGGTAAGCAATGGAAGACAATTATTTCTTTATGAAATACTTGTTTCGGCTCCATTAACTACTTTATACTATTCGAAGGTGGACTTAAATACGAACTTGAAAACGGTTTATTTTAGCACATCAACAGCAGAGATTCTTGGAAAGGCTGCTTAGGTTTTAAAAAGAAGAGAGAGAACAAAAAAAAATCAACCGGCGTGGTATTGAACTAACCCCTAGTGATTTGGTCAACAATACGCAGCGCCAACAAGGCAGCGATATCAAGGTAGGCCAATTATTTGTTTATATTACTTGTTTCGGCTCCATCAACTGGCAGTTAAAGTGACGCTTCGCTGATTTCGTTGTTTAGCGAAACAAAAGACTTCTTTTGTTTCTCGTGCAACAAAAGATCTCCAAAAGATGCTGCAGGAAAACAGATTTTTTTTTTGTATACGTTATTTCTCAAAAACAAGCAAACCAGCGAAAAAAAATATGGGGTGATGGTTTTCAATTAAATTGAACACCATATGCAGGAAAAAACACACAAAATCGTCACGTAGCATGGTTTTGCAATTTCCCCCTTCAATTAAGATCTTTGTTTTGTTTTAAAGCATTTAATGCTTTATGTTCTTTGCGTGACAAGTTTGGTTTTGGTCTGGTTATTTTTATCTCTTCGATTTGTTGTTTGACCTCTTCCAGGTAGGTTTCTAATGTTGCTGATGGTTGGACTGGTGGTTCCCAGTTTGATTTGACATAGAATGGATGGATTGATTTGTTTTGCCCGTGAAAAATGTATTTTAAGCGCATTCGTCTGGCAAAATCGTTGTGATCTTGCAAGAGACGGCCTCATGATTTATATTTAGGGACTATGGCAGTCGGTATAAATTTCAATCCCTTGGATAGTAATTTAATTTTATTATCTGTCAAATTCGTTTTGGATAGGTTCTTTATAAACCTGTCATTATTTTTTGTAAGTGAAGAGGTTAATAGTTTTCTGCGTTCATTGTGCTTTCTGCTTTTTATTTATGTTTTTGTCATTTTTGATTTACCCTTCCTTTTCTTTTTGCTGTCTGTGTTAGTAGTGTTACAACACTCAGTGAACAGACGTGTACTTTTCGGCATCTTTATTGTTTACAATTTCTTTTAATGTTGACAGTAGTGTTGACACATTTTCAGAATCCATTCCTAGTATAGCTGCTAGGTTTTTTACACTGATGTCCGCTGATAGCAGTTTAGGTTCGGATTTGTTCTTTGAGCCTCTCTCAGGAGTGCTTTTTCGTGGAGTTTTTCCTTTTTCCTTTCGAAGCTTATTTTTTTGTCTCTCGAGGTGGTGGTGGTTAAACTTACCGAGTGCAGAAAGAAAACCGTGCTCTGCTTTTTGTTTGACCGCCTGAACGTCTTTTTTGAACTGTTCGTCCGGCGGGATATTTACCCGCGCACTATAACGTAGCGATTTAGGCCAGGTCTTATTGTCCAAGTGTTTCTGTAGCTTCTTTATGGACTCCTCAGTTCTTTTGATTTTTACCTCCAGTGAGTATAGGCTTTCTGCTTTTGCTTTTCTTTTCCTGTCGCCTCCGTTTGTTTGGTTCTTCACTGCTATTGGTTTTCTGGGAGGTTGGTAGCTCGGTATTTCGTCCTCGTCCTCGGGTTCTGAGATGCCCTCAAACTGGTTGTCCATTAAGCATCCAGGAAGGATGTCATCTATAGGTGTGTTTAGCGGGCTCGTTTCAGACAATAGGTTGTCCTCCATGATTATTTCAGCAAGCAATATGTGTGGTTTTTTAGCAAGACCGCGGTTTCGAATCTTCACGATTCTCGTCAGTTGCTATCTTCAACTATTTATTTGGGGAACAGTAGAGTGTTTAGCTCAATTCTGATCCACCAAGCTACTTTCTGGCAACTAGGATTTATATAGCCACAATGGTTTGAAATAGGTTCATTGATGGTTTAGC